TAGAGCGCAGTTTTTGCTTGTGACAGGGAGCGGCGGTAGGTGTGAAGATGCTTGAGCCACAGCTGGTGGTGAACCATGAAGCTGGTTTTCTGCCATCTGCGCTCAAGCAACCGGGTTTGGGATTTTAGGGAGTGGAGATGGCTGTTGTACCAGGGGGAGCGCATGGGTTTGGAGTCAGTCCTGGATTTCAGGGGGATGCGGGAGTTGAAGATGAAGGAGAGGCGATCATGGAGCAGCTTGACGGCTGCTTCAGGGTCACTGCGGGTAGAAGGCCAAAGGGATAGGAGGTCTGAGGATGAGAGGGCCTTTGTACGGGTCTTGGGGGGGGAAGCCTTTTCCATGGGTGGAAAACTTTGGTTGAGGGCTTGATGGAGGAGAAAGGGATGTGAGAGGAGAAGGAGATGAGGAAGCGGTCCAAGATAGCCTTGTCCGTGAATATAGATATTGAAAAGGGACCAGGGATAGAGCCCTGAGGAACGCCACACTAGACGGTGCAGGGACAAGAGGATAAGCCATTTGTAGAGATGAAGTGGAGACAGTGTGAGAGGTAGGATCTGAACCATTCAAGGACAGAACCATGAAGATTGAGATAAGAGGAGAGGCAGAGAAGGAGGATAGAGTGGTCAATGGTATCGAAGGCAACTGAAGTCAAGGAGGACGAAGAGACAAAGGGAGCCCTGCTCGCAGAAGGACAAAATGTTGTTTGTCAGTTTGGCCAAAGTGGTTTCTGTGCTGTGGGCGGCACGGAAACCCAATTGGAAGGGTTGGTGAAGGGAGTGGTGGGAGAGGTCATGGGGGGCTCCTTATCTACGATTATTCTGAATTGCTTTTGAATAGTAAAATTGGCTATTGGAAGAATTTGCCTTGTTTGCAGAGCTGAGCAGCCACACAACTGTGCGTTTCCTTAAAAATATGAACGCCGTGCATGCAGCGTATGTCAGATGTTTTGTGCATACATGAATCATGCATGCCCACGCGCATTTTGTCTGGGGAGAGAAGCGGTTGATAATTAAGGATTGCAGCATCATGAATAGACATCTACAGGATGTAGCAGATGGTATGAAGAGGATTGCATGGGAGGTAAAAGGTTTTACTCATGAACCCAACACAGGTTTCGGCAATCAGCATTCAGATCTGTCCTTGTGCTGATTCTGAGGGCGTAATTCAGATGATTTATGGAGAAAGATAGATGGATTTTGTCCTTTCAGATGAACCTACTTGTCACTATAAAAAAACTTTGTATAAATATCACTAATAAATATATTTTTTTAAAAAGTAAAACCTATAATGCATTCCAGTGAAATTTAAAATGATTTTGTTTATTTCTGTCATTTGCTGCTTTGTGTTCAATAGTGGTGTTTAGGACCATCTATCCCTGGCACTTCAGCTTCCTGACAGCTCAGGCAAAACAATTCTGTCGATCCACCGTCCCTTCCCACAAATGTCATTGGGACACAATGTTTAACAAGAAGATTTGAGACATTGAAATAAACTATAATTATTTCAATATTTACAGATTGTTTTTTTTCAAAAAGGGAGCCGTTAGCGATATTTGCATTTAAACATGAGCCTTACAGTTTAGTGCAAGTAAATAGAACTAAACGTCCATTAGAACCTCATGGAGGCCAATAGAAACATTCCCATAAATGTTAAAATTTGAAATCAACAGTCCACGTTTGCTGGGCCGATTACAGTAAAACTTTGGAATGTGAAAGAAATGTTATTACCTCTTCAATCTCAACACGTTTGGACGACATGTTTACTGAGGTTAGAGTTACTTATACAGTTGTTCTTGGCCATGATAACCTGTTCGGAACCATCTTAGTTGTGCAACTGAAGAGCAATGTCAAACGGGTGCATTTACTGAGCTTTGCTTCCACCTAACACTGCCTGAGAAATTAACTCAAACTACAATTACTCTACTCTGAACAGCGGCTAGACTTCCAGTCCCACAATTCTAAAGATCCCAAAGCCTCTATAGGAGTCCTGTAGCTCAGTGGTTAGAGCAATCGCTTTGCAAGTGAGAGACCTGAGTTCAATTCCAGGCAGAGGGCGAAACCTTGGGCATGTTTCCTTACTCCACACACCTAATAATAATCCCTCCAAAACCCCCCAAAAAACAATAATAAATTGGTCATTTTCAATCTACGATTGTTTGTGGGACATTGCTGTGCGCAATTGGCTGCGGGTTCGCCCACAAATATACAGTTAATTTACTTTACAGTGTTCTGTGAAGCGCTTTGGGACGTCCTCCCGACGTGAAAAGCGCTATATCAAATGCAAGGATTATTAAGGATTATTATTATTATCTCTTTCACCCCCAGGAACTAAAAAAAAATCCAGACCTTCAGAAAGTCAGCACCACCCACAAGATATACTACTTATGGCCATGTCTCTAATTTTGCATCAGGACCAGTGGAAGTTGTATTTATGAAGTAATATTGCCCTCTCTCACACACGCCCATGAGTCTGCAATTTTGCCCTCACTTTGGTTCAATTCTTCCCACACCCAATAGTCCAGGTGATGTCACAAACTAATAAGAAATAATGGCTCCACTCAGCAGACACTGCAACAACTGACCCATTTACCATTTAACTCACTAGGCATATCAAATGCAAGGATTATTATTATTAATATTATTTCCCAGGGGGAAGGATAAAAACCCTCTCATGTCCACACTTAATTTGTCCCTCTAATTGTTTTGGTTCCACAGTGAGATACATATATATTATATACACACACACACACATATATATATATAAATGAGGTGCATAGTTTTTAAAAAAATCCTATTACTATTATGCATACTGCTGGCAAAATCCAATGCAGTGCTTGTGGTAAAGCGATTGGGAATCGGCTGATGGGTTTTTAAGTGAAATACTGCATATAACGTAGTTTCACACGGAATACCGTGTGCATTTTAGACTAGTCAGCACCAATATTCTCAACGACCTGAACGTGCTCACAGCACATACCCTCCCATCCCCAGCGAAGGGCGCCCTTTCTTTTCACTTTATTGTACTGCAGGCTAAAGCCCAGGCATTGCATTGCCTGTTGTACAAAACTATTGAATGCAAAGCATATCAGTCTTAGTCGGGCGTTAAATTCATCCGATTTCACGATTCGCTCATTTTAAAAATAATTAACTCAAAAAGCAAGTCCGAGATAATACTCTTCTGGACAATTATTCTGAAGAAATCCCTTCTGTTTTGCATTCATATTGTAATGAAATGTGGTCGAAATACACCTTTACGATTTTATAAACTTAAGCACACAATGATGGGCATGTTTTAATCTCAACTGCATAAAGTTATGTGAATATTATTGGAGAAATGTAAATAAATCTGTGGTCCCGCTTTCAAATCAGACCACGTAAAATGTCACTTGTCGGTTAACTTGCAATGTGATCAGAACTAAGCCAACGATATTGTGCAACTTCTTTAGAAAAAGATTATTTTTAAAATGAAGGAAAAGCTCATTATATTCGCTAATATTTGAAAGAAAGAACTGCTTGTTTACAGAGTGCATTCAAACCCAAACAGCGTCTTTGAGAAGGTGGTAAATGAGTGTCTTGTAGGGTATTCGCATTTACATTGAACCACTTCATTCACGTTCACAAACAAACAATATTCTTAGTCTGGTGAAACGTATCAAAACATTGGAGTTGTCAGTTGGAAACAACATGAATACTGTACAAACCTGAGACTTCACACATCTGGGAAATCTATTGCAAAGATATACAGAATACACCTTTGCTCTGTATGGTGGGGGTGAGGGGAGAGAATCAAACAGCCCTGTGGTTGCGGTGGTGGTACTGTGACTTAATTCTATCAGACGCTCTCCAGCAAATTCTTATGGAGAAACTGTGAATGAAACGATTTGGGAACTGTATTAATTTGCTGGTAAATTGGATTGTGGTTGCACTGCGAGTACAATGTGTTTAAATAATTGAGGCAATGTATCCAACGTAATTATAACAACGGTGTTCTGAGACACGTAAATATTTTATAGCTGCCAATTCAAAACCTCGGGTTGTCAAGTCACATTGGGCTTTGAAACCTGCATATATATAATATATATAATAATAATATATATAATATATATATAATATATATAATAATAATATATATCACATATATATAATATATAATATATAAATAATATATATATAATATATAAATATATATAATATATATATATCCTTGCTTCGATTGCAAATAGACACTTTGGATTTATACGGAAGAGGACAGGATTTTTTTAATATGGAAATGAGTCAGTTTGGGGAATATCAAATGATGCTCTTGTTGCACTATTTCACCGTCGTGGGCATTTGGAATTAAGTAGGAAATCAAAGTGAAGCTTAATTTCGCCTCCTGACTCTCTCTCTCTTTCTCTCTCTCTCTCTGGCTGAAGCGTCGCTGTGTATTCGTGTGATGGGAAAGAAAGCTTTCGGCGGAGTCTATTGGAAACTCCTACAGGCGAAGCGAACGGCATAGACATATGCAATCATTGTGTCGCGTCTGGTCTGCAGAGAACCAAAGCACTTTTCCAGGTAGCAAACAAAACATGAGCGTTCCTTATCCTGCAAAGCGATTTAATAAATCCACCTCCGATCTGAGTTTGGGTTTAGAAATATCACGATTGCTATGCATTTCATGCTCTGCTCACCTTTGCATTTCATTTATTTTTACTGTACTATTCTTTGCAGGTTTATTCAGAACTCGACTTGCGGATCGCGATACACCGGTGGACTTTTTTTGGTTTTGAAAAAAAAAATGACTTTTATTAATACACATCGCATAGCAAGAAGTGTTTATCTGATTTTTAAAAGAAAAGAAAAGAAAAGCAAAGCAAATCGGACAGTCGGGGTCTCCCACACACGCAATCAAACCATGCACCCACCGCACTCAGCCCCAAGCCATGTGTCCCGGTGAGACGCAACCAAAGGTTTGCCATCCGCACACAACAAAAAAAAGAGAGAATTTAAAAATACTGTTACCTGGATTTCCCGCGCGTGGTACACAATAATCAGCCCGAGCAGAATAATCGTGGAAAGGCTAATAAGGCATTTTAGAGCTAACGAATACAGCGACTCCTGCAAAGAGCAACAGAAATAGTTTTGAGTTTCGCATCAAAACCTGTGAAACAAACAGATTAACCGGATTGCATTGGTGAGATGCGGACGTGCACATGCAACGTTGCTTCTGTGGGTAGAGGGAGGGAGGGGGTGTGGAGGGTGTGTGTGTGTGGGGGGGGGGTGGGTGGGGGTGTGTGTGTGGGGGGGGGGTGGGGGTGTGTGTGGGGGTGTGTGTGTGTGTGTGGGGGGGGGGTGGGTTGGGGTGGGTGTGTGTGAGGGTGTATGTGTGGGTGTGTGTGTGTGAGGGTGTGTGTGTGTGAGGGTGTGTGTGTGTGAGGGTGTGTGTGGGGGGGTGTTGGGGTGTGTGTGTGTGTGAGGGTGTGTGTGGGGGGGTGGGGGTGTGGGGGGTGGGTGTGTGTGTGTGTGTGTGAGGGGTGTGTGGGGGGGGTGGGGGGGTGGGGTGTGTCTGTGGGGGGTGGGTGTGTGTGGTGGAGGGGGGTGTGTGTGGGGGGTGGGGGGTGGGGGTGTGTGGGGGGGTGTGTGGGGGGGTGTGGGGTGTGTGGTGGGGGGTGTGTGGGGGTGTGGTGTGTGGGGGGGGGTGTGGAGGGTGTGTGGGGGGGGTGGGTGGGTGGGGTGTGTGTGAGGGTGTGTGTGTGGGGGGTGTGTGTGTGTGGGGGGGGGGGTGTGAGGGGGTGGGGTGTGGGGGTTTGTGTGGGGGTGTGTGTGGGAGAGGGGGTGGGGGTCAGAGACTAATTCTGGCGGTAAAAAGCAGCAGAATCAAACCACGGCTCTCTCCGCTATTAACCTGCAAAGCGCAGCGGCGGCTGCACGCGGCGAGTGGTAAGTCGCTCACGCGGTGGCGAGTGCGAATGAAGCCGCCGGTGACACGCGGTCCCGAACGCGCCGCGTCTCATCGGAGCTCCGCCGCGGCTCTCACCTTCTGATACGCTCCCCACGCGAGTTCGGTCTCGATGACCATCACCACGATCCCAAACATCCCGAAGATCAGGGCATAGTCACTGAGCCGCTTCCTTTTCTCAAACAGCGCTCTCCGGTGTCCCAGTTTGTAGCCGATGTTCTGGTTTTTCTTTTTGCTCGACTTGTTGTTGCTGTTCCCGCCGCTGCTGCCGCCGCCGCCGCTGCCGCCGCCTCCTCCTCCCCCTCCCCCGCCGCCGCCGCCGCCCGCGCTCCCCCCGTACGACACCACCGTGGTGGAGTTGTTCTGCTCGGGCTTCGACACCACGATCTCCGGGGCGACGGTGGTGAAGATGGGCTGCAGGGGCTGCGATTCCGAGTCCAGTTCGTGCAGGTTCCTCCTGGACGCGCCGAGGTTGCTGAGCGGCCGCATGACGCCGCCGTTGTACCTGCAGCTGCTCATGGCTATTTCGGTGAAGGGGTTGCTCTCCCTGCGGTGGCTGCCGGGGCTGGGGCTGGGGCTGGCGGGGCTGGGCTGCCGGGGCTGGGGCTGCCGGGGGGAGCCGGCATGGCTGGCCGAGGAGGGCGAGAACTCGCTCACGTTCAGCTGACTGCCTTGCTGGGAGGACGACGACGAGAGGGGCGAATTAGTCCTGAAAGCCACGGGAGAAGAGGTGCGCAGAAGGAGTGGGTTGTCCCCGGCAGGACAGGTGCACCTGATCCATTCCCCCCGCTGCTGCTGCTGCTGCTGCTGTTGGTGACTGTGACTGCTGCTGCTGTGGTGCTGCTGCTGTTGGTGACTGTGACTGCTGCTGCTGCTGTGGTGCTGCTGCTGCTGTTGTTGGCTGTGACTGCTGTGGTGCTGCTGTTGGTGGCTGTGACTGCTGCTGTGCTGCTCCTGGAAGAACCCGTGGAACTGCAATGGGGTTTCCATGTCAGCGCTGTTAAAGCCGCAGGAGCGGGCTGTGCACCCTGCGCAATGCGTTACGGCGGGGCTGGGGGAAGCCCGGCGCGGGGCGGAGGGGCCCATCCCGGCTCCCGTAGAATCCAGACACCGCGTCCGATTGGTCGGACGGACCAAAACAATCGGCATGACGTAATGTGGAGGGCGGGGCCCGGGCCCTGGGGGGGGCGGGGCCCTGGGGGGGGGGGGGGGAGCGCCGCGCGGGGCTCTCTGTGCCTTTCACGGCGCGGCTCCTCGGGCGCTCGCACCGCCGCGCACTCTCCCTCTTCCCTCTCCCCGCGAAGTCAGGCGGACGGACACCGGCAATGTCCCGCCCGGGCCTGAGCTCCGGCTCAGGCTAATCGGAGACAACCGGCAAATGCAACCAGTCTTTGCATTTGGGATTCAGTGAAACAAGGCGATGAGGGACCGAGGGCAGAGGATGGGGAGGGAGGGAGGGAGGGAGGGGAGGGTAAAGCAAGTGCAGCTCATGGGAGCCCCTCCGGCTGTGCACGGCTGCCGCTTGGCTTAACCCGCTCTGCTTTTCTCGCAGGTCGCCGTTCGCGAGGGCACCGGGAAAGGGACGTCTTGCTGCAGAGCTGCTGTCACGCCGGTCGGTGACGGGCCGCGCCGTCCTTCATCGTTTGCAGGACCCGCAGCGGTAACGGAGGCGTCATCGGGATCCCGAGGGAGGGAAGAGGTGCGAGGATCAGGGCAGCGATCCCCGCTCGGGGGCCATGGGGTCCCTCCTGCAGACACACACACACACACACACACAGAGAGAGAGAGGAAGACGCTATAGGCTGTGAATGGAAATGACTGCGGGGAGACGGGGGGCAACTGGTGCAGTAGTACCTTTCCCCCTTTGTGACAGTCCGTACCCCCACAGCACCTCTGTGCGGGGAGTCAGTCAGTCAGTCAGTGAGTGCAGAGGAACGGGAGCGCCGAGGGTTGGTTTCTGGGGTTGTGCTGATATCCCGTCTATAACCTGTTACGTTTGTGTATTTTTAAACACAAACAACAGGCGATGACAGTGGCCGTACAGTGTACTTATATCGCACCAAAACGACCCGAGTGCGATACGGCGCTGTGACTGCACTGTCCTCTCTCACTGTTCTCCCTCGAGTTACTTTGTCGAATAGAAACGTGTTGCTCTCCGCTGGTCGGAGGCTCCGGCGCCGCGGACTGTACACCGCCTTCGCTAAATGTGCGGACACGCGGTACATTTACCCATTGCTTCGTGGACTTTTATTGCACTCACTCGTGGCCATTGACTGCATCATCGCTGTATTTGGAATTTGAAACGAATCACACGCACCGCAACCAACACACCCAGAGCTCAGCTCCAGCAATGCGGTGACCTTTCTTACCCTATTGTGTTTCAAGCCTCGAGTCCTCAGGTCATTAAACTAATACCCCCCCAACCCCCCCCCCCCCCCCCCGCTATCACCACTGTAATCACTGGACCTCTGCCTTGTGGTGATGAGGGTCCTTCCCTTTCGAAAGGATTCTCCCCTTTTTTGTAAATCTATTGAAAAGGGACACATCATAACGTGCCTTGTGTTCAAACTGAAAGGCGATCGCCAATGGCGAGTAATCCATTCCTGACAATTCATTGCATTTTTACTCACCACGTGGTGAAAAACAAAATGTTCACATCAAGTTAAAGACCACGGAACAAATTCTGACGTGAATGAATTGCAGTTTTCAGTCAACAGACAACGGTGCATTAAAGCAATTGCTTCGCAATACAACGTTGCAAAAGAGGCAGCAAAACCCATTCTTGAAACCGGATCGGTTTCATTAAGTAATTGGATTCTTGGCCTGTATCCGATTTCTTGAAATACTATTCTGCGTCTCCTGTAAAGATCGTTACCAGCTGTTTGTTGCATTTTACGTTTTTGCAACGAGTGAGAATTAATAATTCATTTTAGCAGGGAACCCTGTCTGTATTATGTCGGAGTCACCAATATAATAGTTTATGCTATGTTTCATTTCAATGCAAGAATGCCACAGCTTTCACAGGTAAGTAATAATTCACCACTTCTTTACAGCCAACCGAGTAATGCGTTGTGTTCATTTGCATTATTGAACATTTCAACTAATGTAATATAATCCTTGCACTTGGTATAGCGCCTTACCATGCTAGAAGGACATCTCAAAGCGCTTCATAGGTTCTGCGATATAGTGTGACTGTATTTTGTACAGCAGCACAAACAACAAATGACCAATTTTATTTGGGGACTGTTGGCCAGGACACCGGGAGAAACTCCCCTCTCTTTTAAAATACTGTAGTGCAATGGGATTTTTAACGTCCACCTAAACAGCAGTTTGGACCTTGTTCTCTCATCCGAAGGACAGCACTTCTGACAATGCGACGCACCTCCAGCACTGCATTGGAGTGTCATCTTAAACCCTGTGAGTTCAAGTCTCGACATGGGATTTAAACCCACAGCCCTCTGCCTCAGAGGGAAGAGTGCTACTACTGGGCCAATCTGGTGTAGTCCAAAGATAATGCAATGCTTATTTTTCTCTACAAATATTTAAAGCAATATTATAGAACACAAGTCCTCATAGAACACAATTTAACACATTTGTATTTATTGAGTAATCTGGTTGGCAGACTGCCAACTTCCATGTACCTTTCATGTGGTGTCCTTGAAGTCGCAAAACATGTTTTTTTTATGTTTTATAATATGTGCTTTACATTACCTGCAACATGTTTCTGTTTGGGTAATTATCAAATATTTTATTTATGTTGGTTGTTAAATGGAATCCTTTTCTGTGTTCGGAAACTAAATTGTCAATTTTACCATTTCTGACAGATGGAAGCAAGTTGTTTGTAAAAAGTTTAGGACTGAACATCAATAAAGTGAGATACCTTGAGAATGCACATTCCCCTGATCCTTATTTAACACCTGTTACTTTGTGTTTCAGGGATTAAAGCCTGTTACCTGTGAATTGTGGTGCTCGATGAGAGCACATTTTTTGATTTACTGTGTAAATATATCATACTTTTAGTGTAATAACTAAATGCATTTGACACTAGGTGGCGTCAGTGTTCACAGTTCTGTGCACTGAGCTGGGAGTTGTCAGCAATTATTGGGGATGAGCATACATTGACATTTTCTCAAATATTTCATATTCAATACCACCAATTAATTGTGATTTTTTTTTGAGTAGTTTAAAGCAAATGACCAAGGCTTCAGGTCATCACTATCTATGTTATGGAAGATATCGCACCAAACACAGCGATGGGTCATTATCTGCCAAACATGGCGCTCACACCGAACCTCTGGACACATAGATGTCTAAATACAATGAAACACTTGTACTGAATACAATTAAGTACTTCTAAATACAATTAGCATAATTGTAATAATTTTGTCTCTAACAAATAAAGTAATTGAAGTATTTAAATTTGACTGCATAAATAATATGGAGCAAAGTTTGTTATCGAAATACCAGCACCTTAACTAAAATCAAGTTAAGCCATTGAAATGTACTTTAATAATAATAATAATAATAATAATTCTTGCATTTGATATAGCGCTTTTCACATCGGGAGGACGTCCCAAAGCGCTTCACAGAATATACTGTAAAGTGAGTTGACTGTATATTTTGTGGGCGAACGCGGCAGCCAATTGCGCACAGCAATGTCCCACAAACAGTCATAGATTGAAAATGACCAATTTTAATTATTGTTTTTGTTTTTTGGAGGGATTATTATTAGGCGTGTGGAGTAAGGAAACTTGCCCAAGGTTTCGCCCTGCCTGGAATTGAACTCAGGTCTCTTGCTTGCAAAGCGAGTGCTCTAACCACTGAGCTACAGGACTCCACGAGTATATATATATACACAATACTCCAATTCCCATTTTTTTGGAAGGATGCAGGTGAAATACTGTAATACTCCATTATTTAGTGTATAATGCTCACATTTTACACCATACCAAAGCACAAAACAAAATTGATTAATTGTGCCATCAAAACGAGATCAAAAGAAATGTAAAAGGAAAGAAACGCATCAAGTAATATAAATGGGACAGACCAGTGAAGGAAAGAACAATGCCAGGCAAACTAGTCTAAACAAAATAAGAGAGCAACTGGAGCTGTAATTAAAGTGATGTGGGGGGATGGGGGGAGGAAGAAGTGAAATTAGCACGTGCATTGCTGGAGTGGGAGATCTGTACCAGGCTAAAGATAAGTTATGAATCATGCTGCAACACACTAATCGTTATGAGGGTATTAGATAGCTTATTGTTACAAGGAAGTTTAGGAATGCCCATCTGAGCCAAGGATGTATGATATGTCTCATTATTTGCATACAGTGTGAAAAAAGACATGCCAGAAGAACACAGAACTGAACAATAATAAACAGCTAAAAGTAAAGCATATATAGTGTATGTCACATGACTAAAAGTGATGAATTAATATTATGCTCATGACTCAATTTAACACTCTGACATCTAGGAATACACTGTGTAGACATTATATGCAGGATATATTCATAAGTAGGATCAAAGACAGACTAGGATGCATTATAAGGAAGTACTGTTTTAAGTGCAATGGCATAATTGATAACAAGTGAATCTTAGTTATATTGTAACATAATTTCAAGCCCCAAATGCTCTGGAATCTGTTTATTCTTTATAATAGAAGTATGGAAATGGTACTTTTTTTGCTTTCAGGCAGTGATCAATATATTTATAGCATATTACATTAAACATGAGTATTGCTAAGGACTTCATCTTCCGCACTGAAGGTGAATGACAACTGCTGAGACATGGAAACCCAAAGAAAATGCATTTCCAGTAAAACTTTCTATATAAGAAAGTGAGTTTTCAAACTCTCAACTCAATTCTTGGTTGGTATGAGGCTACATTACAAGACAGACCAGTGGTGTAATCCAGTGGTGTACAAACTCTTTGGTTGGCCAACAAAATAAGCGTTTCTGGATTGAACATTTCTTGATTAATGGCATAAACCACAAAACTATTTTGTTATTTCTTTGATTATTTTGTTGGTCAAGCGAAAAGACCATAATCTAGTGCTGAATGGCACCAAATGAACACCTTCACTTTGAGAGATCTTAATGGGAGTTGGTGCAGTAAATGCCACAAGGTACCCTGATACAAAAATAGGTGGTCAAG